CGGGGGTGGTGGAGGAGGGAAGGAGGAACTGTGGATTGGGGGAGAAGAAGGTGGCGGAGGCGGAGGAGGAGGCGGTTGATGTGGAGGATTATAGTAGGAATACTGTGAAGTAGGGTAATACGGGGGGTGAGGAAGTTGCCCGGGCTGCGGGAGCGGCGGAGGGAAGGAGGTAGATGATAGAGATTGCCCTGCAATGGAAGGTTGCTGAGAGGGAGGATAGGCGTACTGCTGCTGGTTGTGCTGCTGACCGACGGAATGATTGCCGAATTGGTAGGGCGAAGCCGCTGCGTTGTAAGCGGGGCCAGGGAAACCCCCACGCTGAGGGTACGGGTGGCCGGCGCCTGAAACAACCGGAGGGTGGAGTGGAGGACGAGGAGGGATAGGGGCTTGATTAGGAGCCGAAGGAGGAACGAAGGAAGACGACGGAGGAGGATGGGGGAAGGGTCGGAAGGACGCCATGGCCGGCGATCAAAAACGCAGTCAGTAGACCGCCGATCGATCCGCACAGAAGGATCGGAGATGAAAAGATCGGGGTTGAGCGTCGGGAGGAGGATCAAAGTCGAGATTTTGAGGGTTTTCCTTTCACTTATTGCATGTTTTCGTTGTTACTACAAAGCTCAGTGCCATCGACAATCAGGTAATAGATAGGTTAAAAACCGACCATGGCTGCCTCCATAATTTGTTAAATCTTTTCTGAAATTTTATTTTCTACTAAAAAGCCCGAAATTTCATCAACTGTTCCCGGTTCCCTAAAGCACATATTCATTGTCAAATATATTTTGAATTTTTTTTAACAAATTTTTTTTTAATAATATTTGTATTTTGGAATAACCATATCACACTTAAATCTTAAGAAAGCACTATTTTTAATTATTTCATACATATTGTCTCGAAGATTTAGATATAACAATGGAAAATGGATTTGTATTTCTCTATGCATATTTGTAAAAGAAGGGTATTATTTATACAAGTATTCTAAGATTTAAAATAGTAAAGAAAGTAAATTGAGAGCAGAAATTAAGTCTAAATATGAGCCTATGGGATCGAAGTTAATTACATCATATCATGATAATTAATATCATTGATTCATTTACGGTTTAACATTCGGGCAATTAATGTCATTGATTTATTTTCGATTTAACAATCTCCTCTAATTTGTTAAATCTTTCTGAAATTTTATAATTCTATTCAAAAGCCCGAAATTTCACAGCTCTCAATTCCCTAAAGCACATATTCTTTATCAAATATATTTTGAAAATTTTTTAACAAATTTTTTTTTATAATATTTGTATCTTTGAATAACCATATCACACTTAAATCATAAGAAAACGCTACTTCTAATTATTTCATACATATTGTTTGGAAGATTTAGATATAACAATGGAAAAGAGATTTGTATTTCTTTATGCATATTAGTACAAAAGAAGGGTGGTATTTATACAAATATTTTAAGATTTAGAATAGAAAAAAAAAAAGTAAATTGAGAGCAGAAATTAAGCCTAAACATCAGTCTATGGAATCAAAGTTAATTACACCATATCAATGCAAATTAATGTCATTAATTCATTTTTGGTTTAACATCCGGACAATTAATGTCATTGATTTATTTTCGGTTTAACAACCCCACCTCAAGCTCATGATGGTATGATGGATGTCAACTTGAGTTTGCTAAGTAGATCTTGAAAACATGTGGGAGGATGAGTTTTGGTGAAGATATCATTTGCTTGGTTAGTAGAGCAGACATGAATTAAAAATATGGTGTCTTGAGTAACATAGTGACGAATAAAGTGACTATCAATTTCAATGTGTTTAGTACGCTCATGAAAATCGCGAATAAAGTGACTATCAATTTCAATGTGTTTAGTAGGCTCATGAAAATCGTCATTATGAGAGATCTGTATAGCACTTCTATTATCACAATGAAACATAGTAGCTGAAGATTGTGGGACAATCATATCAAATAACAACCAACGTAGTCAAAGTAATTCAAATGTGGCATCAACTAGAGCATGATACTCATATTTTGTGCCGGAACGAGCAACGACTGTTTGTTTTTTGCTACGCCAAGAGATAAGAAAATCTCCTAAGAAGAAGCAATAACCAGTGGTAGAACGTCAATATGTGGGATTACCAGCTCAATCAGCATCATAGTATTCAGATAACACCAAAGAGGAGTGAGTAAAAAAATGTAGACCATGAAAAAGAGTGCCTTTAATATATCGAAGTATTCGAAGAACTACAGAAAAATGTGATGAGCGTGGGGCAGACATGAACTGGCTGACTAAGTGAACAACATATGAGATATCAAGTCGGGTAACAGTGAGATATACAAGGCTTCCCACAAGTTGTCGATATAGAGTAGGATCATCAAGAGTGAGTACCATCGAGTAGAGTAAGTTTGTAATTGAGTTCCAAGGGGTTGATATAGTTTTACTATAAGTAATGTTCGCTCGAGACAGTAGATCAGATGCATACTTAGCTTGAGAAAGATAATAACATTGAGAATTATAAGAAACTTCAAGCACCAAAAAATAGAGGAGATTACCAAGGTCCTTCATTTCAAAATATTGACTGAGAAAATGTTGTAATTCTGAGATATCATATACGTCATTACTTGTTATTATCATATCATCAACATAAAGTAGCAGAAGTACAATACCATGATCAGTTCGTCGAATAAACGATGTTGAATCATGTGAACTATAGATAAAGCCAAGTTGAGCAAGAGTAATACTAAATTTAGTAAACCATGCTTGAGGAGCTTGTTTTAATCCATATAAGGCTCGTCAGAGCTTGCAAAATTTATGGGGAGCATGATATCCAAGAGGAGGATGCATATACACCTCTTTTGACAAATCTCCATGGAGGAAAGCATTTTTCACATCTATTTGGTGAAGCTTCCATTTATGAATGACAATATTAGCTAATAAACTACAGACTGATATTAGTCAAGCAACTAAAGCAAAAGTTTCTTCATAATCTATCTCATATTCTTGAGTGTAACATTTGGCTACTAAGCGAGCTTTGTAGCGCTCAAAGGTCTCATCAGAACAAGTCTTGATTTTAAAAATTAATTTACAACCAATAAGGGACTTATGAGGAGGAAGATCGACTAAGTCCTAAGTATGAGTTTTCTCTAATGCCTGAAGTTCTTCCGACATAGCTTGTTGTCAAAGAGAGTTAGTACTTGGTTCACGATGAGAGTGTGGCTCATGAAGGGTTGCAATAGCAGAATAACAATGGAAATCAGTAAGGGAACAAGGAGTTTCTCTTACCCGGGTAGAACGATAGAAAGTTGTGTCAAGGGTAGGTGGAGGTGGAGGTGGAGGTGTAGGTGCAGGATCAGTAATTGGAGCAGAATCAGTAGGAGCAGGTACGAAAGGCCTAACATTGAGCACATCAAAATTCATTGTGTCTGTATTTGGAAATAACCCAATTGAAGAGTCAATGTAAAACATGGAGTTAATTTTGACAGGGTGGTGAAATTTGAAAAAGGATGAGAACATGACATTTTTCCAGAAGGTAACATAATGCGATATGCGAAGTTTATTTGGAATAGAATCCCAACAACGATACTATACCAAAGAAAACAACATAAACACACACATGATTATAATTGTGTCCGTTCATGAGGTTGTAAAAGAGCAAAACAGACACATCCAAATGGTTTAAGTAGGGAATAGCCAGGAGGCTTCCGAAATAATTTTTCAAAAGGGGATAAATTTTGGAGAACTAAGGTTGGGACACGATTAATGTTGTAGACTATAGTAAGAGCTGCCACCCCAAAATTTTTCTGGACAAGAGGCAGCAGGAAGAAGAGCACGAATAGAATCAAGAATATGATGATGTTTTCAATCAGCTTGTCCATTTTGTTGGGAAGTGTGAGGACAAGAGCGTTGAACTAAGGTACCTTGTTGACTGAGAAATTAGAGTAAAGAATAATCCCAATATTTTATAGTGTTATTCGTTCGAAAAATTTTAATAGTAGAATTTTAATAGTGAGTTTTAATCATATTAGCAAATGAAGTGTACATTTTTGACAATTCAGATCGATTTTCAAAAAAATAGATCCATGTAAAACGAGAATAATCATCAATAAATAACACAAAATAACGATAGTCATTTATTGAAGGAATAGAAGCAGGACCTCAGATGTCCGAATGAATTAAACCAAAAGGACTCTCTGAAATTGAATTACTAAGATTAAACAACAATGCTGATTGCTTTGCTAGTTGACAATGTAAAATATTAAATGACTCAAATTTTGTAGATCCTAACAAGCCACGTGAAATTAAAGGTTGAATTTTACTGCTTGAGGCATGATCAGGACGAAGATGCCATTAGTGAATATAAGAGTCGGTAGTTATAGTAGCATACATAAATTTTTTTGGGAAGATGCAGAGAGACAAGCTCAAATAATCAACCAACCCTACGCTCGTCGCAAGAATCTATCTGGTTTGTGGATCATGTACCTGACAACATGAAGGGGGAAAAATTAACACTTAATCTTTATTTACATAACTAACCAACTAAGATAAGATTGAGGGATAAGTTAGGGATACAGTAGGATTCAGGAAGACTAAGATTGAAGGTAGATGCATGACCAATGTAAGTGATATTCATTTTGCTACCAATGGTAGTGTGGATCGATTGACAAGAAAGAAATTGGTGATTTGATGGACAATAATTTTACATCGTTAGTCATATGATTACAACAGACAGAGTCAAAAAGCCAATTAGGATTACCTGGATTGACATACATGATCGTAGATGAATTTGAAGAGATAACCTATTTGAATAGTGCTTCAATATCACCCATAGTGATAACAGTAGAACTATCAGTGGTAGCAGCAAAGACAGAAGTAACACTAGGCTTTGAGACAGTCTTGAGTTTAGCAACTGACGGCGACTTTATATATGTTTAAAAATATAAGTATTTAATACTGCTGCTAAAATATTTAATTCCTCAGCAACTGCACCAAAAACTTAATAATAGTTATAGATTCGATAAAGATGTATGTATAAAATATACAATAATTGTAAAGTCACACTTATCAACGCAAGTATACGTATCGCTCAAGTAATATAAGACTCTAATAAAGTCCTAGATATCGATCCCACAGGGAGTAATATTAGAACTACGAACTAAGATTTTAGAAAAGTAATACTTAATCGCAACAATGGAATTCAATTTACTTATCTGTCACTAATAGACAATTGAAATAAATATGTAATTTTAATAACTTTTAAATAACTAATTATACTAATGAATGTTCTAATGTGATATTCAATATATAAGAAAGCATCATTCTCCTTGTCAAGAAACTATAGTGAATGGATAAAGTGAATCAGTTCAAATTGTATTATGTCAAATAGAATTGTGCCAAATAGGAGCATATCTATTATTTACCCTTTGGTCCAGGCATAAAGAACATCGACTAATCCTACGCTTGTTTACTGAATCTACGGCTAGGCTGGGAGAATATGGACTCTCACTTTAGAGCTCCCACGTTCCCCTCGCCTGAGGGCTAACTTCTACACTTCAGCACCCAAATGATAGGATCGAATTGGGGATTTAGTCTGTCACTCTAAAATCTCCAAATCTACGCCCGATAATTTTTTTCCCCTATTTATTTGCACCAAACTTCCAAGGGCATTGACCTCTCTGAATCTTGGATGTAATCTTCACTTTAGTTGTAAAACTCAACATATTTTAACGAATCAATTGGCTAAATTGAAAGTAAATTAAGATCAAAGTGAAAAGATCATCACGATTTCTTAAACATTTTCATGGCTTCACCAATTTAAATCACCATTTCAAAAATCTTAAGACAAGGAGAAGACAGAGAAAACTACTCAGATCTCATGAGGAAAACACAACAAAACTCGAAATTCATATATAAAATCAAAGTCATACAAACTACAATTATAAATAAACTTATCTCTAATTTCTCCCAAAGCAAACTCCTCGAAGTTCCTCTGAATCACTTCTTTTCTTTACAGAACACAGAATTCCTCTTCGAAGCGGCAAGGAGGAAGAAATCTCTCACTTTCCCTCCACTCTTACAATCTCTCGAAGAATTCCTTACAATTTTGACACTCTAGTAAATTCTCTATATACTAATGTAACATCTCTAACCTCCAGAACCTTTCTAACATCCAGAACCTCTTCTATTTTCAGCCAAAATCTTCTTTTAAAGTTGTGGATGAGTTTTCCCAAGAGTTGCCTAAGCACCCCTCCAAAATTTGTCCACATCTAATGCCTATTTGGACATAACCGTCGATCTCACAGTCGACAACCTCGAGGGTGTTGTCGGCGGGCCTTCTAAGTGAATTAATTCTGGAGTCTCAGAAAATTCTCACCGTCGGTGCTGTTGGGCTCACCGTCAACGCCCTAGTTCAAATCTTCACATTTTGGTCTTTTTCGCTCCAAATTCACTCCTTTTTGCATCTTTTTCCTCCAATGACCCTAATTCATCATTCCTGCAACAAAACATCAAAAATACCTTTCTTTTTAAAGTGCAATATCATAGTGCAATATCATAAAAAATAGTGTGAAATATGTATGAAAATCTCAACATATTTTCCTTTGGTCAGCAACCCCACTTTTTGATCGTAGAGGACGAGTCGAGCAAATCTCAAGAATATGACCATGAGTATGATAATATCTGCATTTGACAGTCGGACGATTAAAAAAAATATGACCAGTTTGTTTTTAATTTTTACATATGTTGTTGCCAGATTTCTAATATGAGAGACGAGTAGTTGCGAATGCAATTTCAAAATTTGTGTTCTTGTCAAGATTAAGACAAGTTTCTTCGAAAATGATTTCTTGTACAACCATATCCAATGTAGGAAGAGAATAATGATGCAGAAGAGAGGCTTGAACTGCTTCATATTCAGGTTGGAGAGCCATGAAAACTTGAATAAGATGAAGATGATCTTCACTTACTTTCGCCTGGGATAGTTGATTCCCAATACGTTGAACTTAAGTAAGAAAACCATTCACAGATTGACCAGCTTCTTCTTTTAGATTATGAAGCGTATTACATAACTGAAATTAATGAGCAAGTCCAGTGGTCTGATATCTATTGGCCAAGAACTCCCAAATTTCTTTTGCAGTGTCATAATCAACAAATTGGATGTGAATGGATGGAATAAAAGTGTTACAAAACTAAGTAATAATATGATGGTTTTTGCTATCCCAATCTTCAAGGCGGTTAACAAATTTATCATCAGTTTCGTAATAATCTGATGGTTTTTGCTATCCCAATCTTCAAGGCAGTTAGCAAATTTATCCTTAGTTTTGTTTTCCTGTTTTGTTGGTTTATTGATATCTCTAGTAACAATACACCAAAGCTTGCGGCCAATCAAGAAGTTTTTCATTCCTTTGACCCATAAATTATAGTTTGAACCAGTCAAGATTGTTGTAATGAGATTTGCAATATCTGATCTCTCCATTAAGAAGTGGAGGTGACAAAGAATAAAGCTTCCACAAATAGATGTAGAGAATCACACAGGAGAAAAAAAATAAATTAAAAAAAGAAGGGAGATATATCGGGCCAGAAATGTGAGGTCGATCGCGAAAGGGAGGCGCGACAAGGGTGGATTGCGTGCAGCTATGACAGAGGGGAATCACGACATGAGAGAGGATGATAGCTCAGACGGTAGTTTCAGGTAGAGTCGCAACTAGGGAGACAAGATTGCGGCTCCTTGCGCGGTAGGGTAGAGAGGTAATCGCAAGGAATAGAGCTCAAGCGTGCAACCTGGGATCGTGCAGGAGATTGTGGAGGCTGTGGCTCGACGATCTTGTGGGGCTAAGGCAACAAAGAGACAAAAGGCAGAAGATTGCACTACAGGGAAAGTTCAACTCTAGCTCGAGGAAAGGGCAGGGATTAGGTGCGGAAGGTTCTAGGGCTCTAATTCCATAACAATGGAAAAATGGATTTATATTTCTTTATTCATTTTCGGTTTAACATCCGGACAATTAATGTCATTGATTTATTTCTGATTTAAGAATCTCACCCTAAACTTTAATTTTTACATGCATCACATCTTATTTATACAATAATAGATTTATTTCACATTTTAAATGTTAAAATAGTGATATTTTTGTTGTGATAATGGGCGATGAGATCATTGAGTGTTTATGTTTGGTCTCCATGTCGTGTCTTGGCCAAATAAAAAACAGCATATATTAAAAGCATGCATTGATCTTATAAGTGATGGCGTGTATTGATCTTATTGATAGTGATATGCATCAAAACTACTGACGAGGCGGTCAATGTGGATAACGAGTATTGGCCTTGGTGTCAACAACATGCATTGGTATTATAAAAAATGATATACATCAATAGTGTGCATTGATTTTAGGAGCAACCATGTGAGTCGGTGGAGTTCATAAACATTATAGGTAATGGAGATCAATCAAGTCGTCAGACATTAGTGATTGAATGAATGTGATTCGTTGAGCATCAACAGGCACTAGAGGTCAAGCGATTGAAGCAAGCTGTTAAAATCTTCTTAGTCTAAACAAATAACTCAAATCCCTAAAAAATTATGCATCACAATACAATTTTGAAGAAATTTCTAGACAAGACCACTTTCAAGAAATAAAATATATTTGATCATAATTTAGTATTTATTTAAATTTGAGTGTCGGTTAAATAAAAATATCTTTAATCTTTAAGCCATAAGGGGGGGGGGGAGAGGGTGATGGAAGATTATTATTTATCTTTCCATAAAAAAAAATGTCGATCATCCTCTAATCAAATCCAGGCCTTATCACATTCTATCAAGTCCAACAAGTCTAAGCAAATCAAGTCTAAATTCCCAACATTAGGAATCAATACAATGATGAAAGTAACATACTATCATTTAAAATATTATGTATGATTTAGATCCATATCATCTTACACCAAAAAATATATATATATTAATATGATTTAGATCCATATCATCTTACACCAAAAAAAATATATATTAAAAAAAAACAATAAATCTCAGGAAGTAAATTGTTAGCACATAAGCAGATACAACCACAGGCAATAAACACAATATTTATCATTGATTTTGAAGGGATGGAATGAACAAATCAATCATCTACAGGATCCGGCGGGGTCTCAGCAGGTTTCCTTTTGATGGCGATCACAGGGCATTCAGCATGCTTCGCACAGAATTCGCTCACAGTTCCAACAAATACCCTGTACAAAAAGCATGTCATGTAAATCAAGTTGAAAAATAAGAATCACATTATGATTCATCTAACACTAAAAAATTGGCCAAGTCTGACTTGCAAGCAAGCATTTGTTTCAGTTAGCAAAGTAAATGGGCTCGGTCGAGCTCAAGCCACACTTGGCTCAGGCTCGGCTCAACTACTTGGACCAATGAAAATAATTGAGTTGATCATAAGATGCAAGGTTAAATTTAAAAACATCCTCTATTTTCATAAAATTTAGCATTTTTAATCAAGATATAAAATAACCAACAATAGAGATGACAAATTCAAGAAAAAAGGTAACTTCCAAACTCTTCTAACCTGACCTTGCCTCGGATACTTGCCAAAAAAAACTAAAAATAGCAATAATGCAAGAAATGGTTATGAAGAAACCGAGCATGGTAGTTTCCACAACCTTTAATATTTTGATGTTAGAATAAATTCTATGAACAATCCTTTTATGTTGCTTTCATATGAGGAAATCTTAAAAAGGTAAACAACAAATGACTTCTATTTTGTGCTGAACAAACATAAGAAAACAATAATAATATTGAATCCTAAATTGCCTTTTGAAATACACGCCCCGAGAGTTAGAGCAGAGAGGAGAGAAATGAGAGACCGAGAGTCAAGAGAGAATGAAAGTTGTTATATTTATGTCGTGACCTCCTACTTACAAGGGTCTAAAAATACGGTTACAAAAAAGAAGGAATAATTATAATAATCATCCAAATAACTTAATTCTGTCGAATGAAAATTGCATTATAATACAAAGAAATACAATTTCCATCGACCGCCAAATGCCCCAGTTTAGTTCGTTATGCCGATTCACTGAATTGATCGATTTCACCGAGGAGATTGGTTGACCAAGCAAAGGAAACAATTCAATTCTAGCAAGAGGTGTGTCAGTCAAATGAGCTGTCAGTCGAAAGCTTCTATTGATCGATTCCACTGTAAAGTCAATCGACTTCTTGGCTTGTGGATTTCCTGTTCTTTAGCTTGGAACTTCAATTGCTTACTTAGGTCTCCATTCCTAATTTCCTGTTCTTTAGCTTGGAACTTCAATTGCTTAGGTCTCCATTCCTGGCCGCTCGATTCTTTTGAGAATCATGTTGTCATTTTTGTAATATACAAATAACATTTAAAAATTAACCTACTTTAAACATCTTTTGATGAGGCTAGACACTTAGCCATAGAGGTGGAATGTTACAAATATTTATGACTCAACTTTTATAATTTTTTTTTTTTATAACTCAAAAGTGAACGAGTAATATTGGTAGTATGTCAAAATGTTAGAATTAGGATCAGTTCATAGCTTATGACCTCAAAATTAATCAAGACGCCACTAAGCCAAGAGTTAGGTAAATAATGGTGACAGACCAAGAAAGAAACAAAGTCTTTATTGATTAAAATATACAGTACAAGATATGAGAAAAAAATAGATAGTAAGAAGAAGAACAGATAATACTAAAGTGAGCCAGAAAGAAAAGTAACTACGAGTGTTTATTGTCAATGACATGTCAGGTACCTACACAAACAAGGCTTTGAATTAAGTTGACAATGTTAACAAGAATTCTTTAGTTAAGGAGAAATCATTCCATTGTTCATGGAGAAATCGACATCATGTATGGCCTCCTAGGTACAGGGGAAACCTTCATTGATATTCACCCTATAATCCTCTCTGGAACTCACTTAGTGGTCCTATTGGGTTCATATGCCAATTGGAACTCTAGCATATAGCTTATTTTATCATCTCTTCCTCTTTCATTGTTGGCTGGCTCTCATCTTCTATGTGACATGTTAGTGGCGCCAACATTACAGCATTCTTTTATACTCAAATACTAACCTATCAGAAATTATAGTCACCGAAGGCTTATGAAACCAATATAAATTATTTAAGACAAAGAAAGAGGGTTTCTATGAAAGAATTGAGAGGATTAGATTGTATCTACTCCACCTGAGATAAGACAGAGAGAGAGACAGAAAGGATTTGATGGCCTCTCTCTGAAGAGTCCAAGAGAAAGAAAGAGCGGGGGATGGAGGTTGCTCAAATAGGCTCCCTCATAGTTGGGAATTGCAAAGAGGGCGGAAGTGGGATTGGAAGGAAAATCATTCAATTAATTCAAATATAATTACTCCTAAAGGCTTCCTATTTATAAAATATAAAATACAAGTCTATGTTAATTGACTATTCCAACTAAATGCACTAATTTAATAACTCGTATCTTAAATTTTACATACACATTCAAATCATAGCTTAAATAAAGAAAATATTTCTTGGAATATATCCTTAATGAATGGGTGACAACGTGGAAATTGATGGAGAAAAGCAACATAGGAAGCAGCGGTGAAAGAGAAAGCTCCTGGCAATGGGGCTTCCATTATCAAATGAGAGAGCTTTATGAGAAGGAGAATCAACCCCTTGGACTTTGATGATGATGTATGGTATAAAAGAGTATTTGGTAAAGGTGCAGTCGAGTGTATGAGAGTCGAGATAATGATGTTAAGGAACGCATCATGTTTTCTCCCTTTAGGTTCAATGTTTTAGTCTCAGATAAAGAAATATTGGAAAATTTTCCTAGTTCGATCCTAAAAAGACAAAAGACCTCAATATAGACAATTTGTTTTTAATACCAACTTAATAATGGCCTTTCATGATCTCAATCTTCATCCTCTTCCTTTTCTTTAATTATCTTAGAATGTAACTTTGTTTTATATTCACCCTTTAAACATATGAGGATCAAAAAAGGAAGACAAATAAAACCCCATTTGGGAACCTGTTTTTGCAGCTTTTATGTTTTGAAACCAGACAAATTGCATTTAGGAACCTTTTTAATTCAAGCATTTCACAGATAGAGGGTTGCATTAGGTCGAACGCTAAAACGGAAGGGGGAGAGGGAGTTCAATGGCTAGAGCTCCGATGCAAGGTGCCAAAGACACCGCTGCCCCTTCTGATTTTCGATATACTTGCGTAGTATCTCATAATTAAAAATTATAACTTTATTCTTATTTGCTTCATAGTGAAGAATTTACCTAGTTTTTGCTTGAGATCAAATTTTTGGCTTTGTTGCAAAGTAAGAATCATTATTACAGAAATTAAGCATATAATCGCAGGGTTTAGGGTTTCTATCCTCGCATATATCCCTCGCCACTCTCCTTCCTTGTCCCCTGTGTCACTAGGGTGGAAACTCGGTTATGCTCCACTCCCTCCGTTGTCAGCGTCGTTGATTTGCTGCCAACCTCTGGTGAAGTTATCTCATTTATGATTTTTTATTTTTTATTTTTTTTGCGGTTTATTTGTTGCTTACCTCTATGTTTCTTTTTATTTCTTCCGTGAAAATTTTTTTGTTCTTGTTCTGCATATGTATTAATTGATATTTAATGGTTGATTAGCTTTCTCTTTCTCATTCATATGTGTAGATGAAGATTTTGAGGGAGATTTTTTATCACATATTCCTTTTTTTCTCGTATGCGCTTCGATGCAAATTTAGAGTTAGCAGGATAGATAAGTTAGCAGCTATATAATAATTTTGATCAAGCAGTAGAAGTTATAGAATGAAAAATAAATGAACATTGTACATCTATTTCTTTAAGAATTCTTTGTAAACTTGTTCAACATATGCTCACTGATGTTAGTTTGTTGATTTGCTTAAACTTGCCTCCCATACAGAGTTGAGCAATATTTTGGGGGGGAGAATGTTAACCAATGCTCCCCTTTTTTAACATATGAGATAGTTTTATAAATGTGATTGCATATACGTTGATACAAAACTGAAGTTTGAATAATAGAAAATTTAGCAGCATCTATACATATCATGATCCACTAGTAGAGGTATGGACTAAAATATTTATGGCCATTATACATATTTTTCTTTAATAAATCTTTTCTTAGTACGTATGAAAATTTTACAAATGAAATTGTATATGCTTTCATGCAAAGTTGTATTTTGCATGATAGATAAGCTCGTGGCATCTTATACCTATCATGATCAACCAATAAAAACAATTGAAAGAAATATATATGAGCATTTTTCATCTATTTCTTAAAGATTCTTTTTTTATATTTCTAAATGGGATTGCATATGTTTTGATGCAAAGTTGAATTTTGTATGATAGATAAGACAGTGGCATCTCTCTCTATAACGATCAATCAATAAAAGATATGAAATGAAATAGATAGGAGCATTGCATATCTAATTCTTTAAGAATTCTTCGTGGAATACATATGCATGAACTGATTTTACTTGGCCGATTTGCTCGCGAGTACCTCCTCTTCAGTGCAGAGTAACATTTTAGAGAGAGAATGTTGAGCATCAATTACTTTTTTAGTTTTTCTGTGACCTTTATAAATGGAATTATATATGTTTTGTTGTACATTTGAAGT